AGCTGCGGCGAGCTGTCAGTCGTCAACAAGCTACTGTACAATGCTCTGGGGCCATAGAGTATTGGGAGAGGGCAAACGCCTCGTCATGCTCCAGCGAAGCATATGAAAAAAAAAAAGCTAAATAAATGAGATTTTCTAGTGGGCAATGAACTAATAAAACACTGCATCATACTGTTTCGAAGCGCGAGATATTTAGGAGGAGGAGCTCTGAAGATACTCTCCAGTACTCGTACTTGTAGATGACTCCACGGCAAGATGGGGCTGACCTCTCTCAAACTTCCAAGGTGTATATTCTCATACATGGTTCACCGGAAGCATCGATGACAGGATTTTCTGAAAAGGTGACAGAAGTTCCGAAGACATCGAACATTAATTGTGACTCTCCTTGACCAACGAGAACTTCCAATGTAATTTTCCTACAGTACATAACCACCACGGTTGTCGATCCCTACAAATTACCCTTTCAGGACAACAAGCAGAAAGCAAATCATGTCAAGAATGTGTGATGGAGTCTTGTTGTCACTAACTGAATGTATTGCACAGTAGTTGCCTTGCAATCTGTAGTGCAGTTTAGGATAGACCATTTTCATGCTTTTTGACTCTCTTTTCATGCAGGCTTGCCTGTACGGGCAAAAAGTGGGCATACTGTACATTCTGACCAGTTCTCAGTTTATATTTTTCGCCTTTTCGCAGTGGGTAGTGAGGTACACCTCACGCACATCGCGAAAAACATCCGTACGTGTATAGAAAGAAACAATCGCAAAACCCAAGAAGGCCAGGGTTGTAACCAATACGCAGATGTAGGATCCACATCCTGGTTGCACAAGTTCGAGACCCTTTAAAGCAATTTTCAGTTTCTCTCGCTCTTGAAAATGGCGCTCTATGTTTCTTGTGATGAAAACAAGAAAGCATAGGCCCTTTTACCGACAAGGGTTTTCTCCAACAGCCGTGAGAAACACATTTGATGGCATTGGAGTCCTTGAGCGGTCTCTTTTTGTGTACTGTAGGTACAGTAGCTATGCTACTTTGGAAGAACTTTACTTCGTTTACTACCACTCAGCCTTTCAACATCACTGACAGTCAAGATATCGGAAGCGTCTTCAAGCAGTCGTGAATTCCAGTCATTTTAGGCTTTTAGTCATCCTTAAGCGTTAAACTGTTACAAGCAATGAGGAAAAGTATCGGCACTTTGTGGTTTCTGGTAATACTGTATTGCCCGGGCCGGTTTGATCTGCCCGTTGGTCTCATCAAGTACACGTGCTCCATATATGAAGGCTCTGCAATTATGAAAATGTTTGACTGACTTGTATAAATAGCAAGTTCCACTAAAGCATAGAGCGGATTTGCGCGCAAAACTAATATTCTGAAACTAAAACGTATGCTGATTTCCGGGTAAAAGACGATGCCCGCAGAAAAGGGTGACATTTGATTTTAGATGACATGCATCGGGCACTACGGAAGAAGGTTTTTAGTCAGGGGAGATTTTCCCATCTACTATGTCCTTCTTTAAAAATGAATCATCGTATCATGGTTGCATGTTGTAAACCTTGGGGGAGTCGATGTCTTCGTGAGAATGGTAACCCTTTACTTTGAGCTTGCCGTAGGCTTATTAAATACACTTCCCGGCGTATACTAAACGAAAGGCCCTCTCCTGTACAAGGAGAATGCTGACTAAAAATGCATGTAAATCTTAGGGAGTCATCTGACCAACTGCGCTCGCTTTGGTGACCAACTGTCACTCACTCCTATAATACTACCACCATCATGATCCCTTGGACCGTTATACAATGAGTAAGGGTCTACAATGTGAGGTGAAATAAAAAAGCATACAGAACAGTGACGAAGAAGTACTAGCTTGAAGGCGCAGGTTTTGAAAACGTCATAAAACAGCAGACAAGTAAACTGCTTCGAGCATGCTTGTCATATGTATTGAACAAGGTACGAACTCTTCGTAATATTTCTCTTTTGGAGCTCTCTTTCATAGGGTGCCCAAAAGGCATATTTTGTGGCGAGAGCAGTACGGTAGATACTGTACAGTATAGTTTCTCCAAGGCCTGAGAAAGAGAGAGCGGTTTGAATTTTTGAAGTGATTGTGCATGGGGGACCTTCGTCTGTATCTCATTAATGAATTTTTAGATCTAGGAGAATCATAGCTCTGGGCACAGAGCAGCTTGAACGTTCCTCTAACCGCCAAGCCTCTTGCTTCGTAGATGAGTGTAATCTGTTGAAGAAAGTGGGGCTATCCTTCCTTGCCCTTTTATTTATCGTGGCTACTCGCGTATTTATACTACTACCACTTCCATGTTTTGTGGATGAACATGTGAAGCAGATGGGGGAAGCGTCGCGTAATGATTTCGTAAGCGTTCAGGACAGTAACAATTATTTCTTGACGTCCGACCCACCTGGTAAATTATTTGGCACTCCCATCATAATCAATTCTTGAAAAAGGAAAGAATGAAAGGCATATTGAGATACAGTATTTCGAGTTTACTGCATTAATTTTCCCAATGCGATATGGCTTTTGATACTGGAAGAGGAGAAACTTATCCATGAATATAATCGTCTCGAGTTGATTGGTCGTAAAACATGCTTCGGTCACGCGAAGCATGTCCTTTGTTAGAAATGCAGTGACAATATTCTGTGAATTAGAAAAGGGCATTGTCACGGATGAAAGCATGCCCTTCTGGCGTGTGGAACATCCAATACCAACAATGAAAATGTGCGTAGGGCGTGTGGATACACACTGGGCAAAGACATAAATTATTGTAGGAAAAGCCCCCACAAATGACACGTGATGAGCGCAGTATATTTCCACAGGCTCAGAACGGGCCTTCTCATGCATTCGTAAAACCCCATTGGCCTCATTCTGCCGAATGTTGTACAGTAGATGAAAACTTGTTTAGAGTGTAAAGTTTAGACTCGTCTAAACTATAGACGTACACAATCGAATATTGCGCAAAGATAGCAAGAATCCCGAGGCGTCATAGAGATATCAGAATAAGAGGTTTTACACGTTTCAACCACAAAAGCATGCCTTGTATGCGCATTGCCACCAGGACGATTACTGTGGTTGTGAGATCATCCAACGTCGCGTATTCTCAAAAGGAGAAAAATGCGGATGCACTCTGCAGCAAGATTGCGGCCTTTAAAATAAATGGTCATGTGGCGAGGTATGACGAGCGGCATGTGATCGCCTCCATGGCCTCAGCGCGAGTTATCACTTGACGTAAATTGACGTTTACAGTCATGTATGGTACATGTTCTTCGCATGCAGAGAGGCACATGTAAACATCTGCGTACTGCATTGTCATCTATGCAGTCATTCCTGTCAGTAATTAGTGTTCCCGGATGCGTATGATCCGCAGTTATTATTCTCGTCTTGCATGAGTACATGGCAATCTATAAAAAGAAAACGGCAAAATAATTGTGAGAATTTTTAATTAAGGTTTAAGGACACCATGCTCTACGATAGTTTATTTAGCATTTCTCGACTACCCGAATCCGTGGAGAAATACAAAGTGAATAAAGACGTTGCTGTCATTAGAAAACTTAGTTGAAAAGTCTCACACGCCGACAGTCATGACCATCTGCCGGACATATAGTTGACATTATGGCAATACGGGAAGTCCAACGACCAACAGGATCGCTGTTGGTTGGTGCCAACTGAGCTTTTACCCAACAAGCAGTGTGTTTGGAGAGGCGAGCGAGCGTTTTGAAGTTTGTGGAGCTGCTTGTTCGTGACGAGGATCGTGCATGTGACGGCTGAACGTGTATGGCAGTATGGCTTGACGAGGTGGCTCAATGCATATGTACCTCTGAAGCATTCGACCATTGCGTGCGGGCAGGATGGGGTACATGGCTGATCTACACAAAACAAATGAACAACATTTCAATTTCCCTTGCAGAACTCCTAGGGTTTTAAATATCTCCCTTGTTTTGGATGAACTGCAAACAAAGCCGCCGGAGAAATCTGCACCCTATCCTTTCATGGATGGTCAGCACGTTTTTGCAGATTTTGAGTTGCGAGAACGCTTGAGATGCAATGACACAGCGATGCAATAGTGAAAAAGGAGAAATTGATGTAGCGGTAATATTGGCTACGAGGCCGAAGGGCGTTCAGCCCACTGGGGTGCAGTGACTGTATCCTCGAAAATAGAAATTGCCTCAACTGCCCATCTGTAGATCAAAATTTGATCTTTTTTGTGAACTCCTTCTGGCACAAGATTCTTTAATCTGACTCACCCGAAACAAATAGGAAGCGATTGCCCACAGTGCACATTACTATTGAATATGCGGTGGTGCAAAATGCTCCGTCATCAGGCCGCTGAAGCAGCATACCGGATAGAAGGCGATAGAACAGCGGGCCTCTTCTGAAGATGCTCCAGTGAGCAAATATTCATCGCTGCGCATAGGGGTTGTCTGAAATGAGACGGACAATGCGCAATATGCTATCCAGCTTGTCATAGCAATATCTCGAAAGTGGCAGAGAATGTTATCTATTCGATATGGTCCATCTCGAGGGAAAATCGCTCGACTGCCTGGTTGATAGGTTGATCCGAACCACTCCCATGACATTTTGAACCGATATCTCGCGTGCGAAAGCATGCGAATCCAGAATGAGGGAGTGGCGTCCACAGGGAGTATTACAAGAGAAAGAAAAGAGGGACCCAGTTGTCAAATTAAAAGTAGGCACTGTTTGTAATGTCGAAGTTGTGTGTTTCTATTTCTTAGAGTTGCAGCACGAGACCCAATTTATACGATCTTTGTGCGTTCCAGATCATGTGAGGTAGTCGGCCTCAATTCTGCTGAATTGAGGAAATCAACACTGTAACTTATTAGATAGGGCCATTGACTACGGGTCCGATTATACCGAATCCACTCTATCTTCGCTGTCAATACAGCACAGTGCTAACGTGTTACGTCTTTCTTTCGTAGAACCAGGGAGAAAGAGTCGAGGTGTACAACTGTATCTTCTACAGGTAACATTGAAGCAGGGGGACACTTCCAAGGACTCTTTTACATCGGACATGTGGTCGCTCCACGCCTTCGAGCGGAACGACAACGCATACATGTCTCAGCTCCTGGCATATCGTTGAAACTTTCTCTGAAGCACTTGGTGCAGCGATTCTCAGCATTTCCTGAGAACGTCCCGGGCGGACAAGGGCGGCACTGACCGCCTTCACGCCCCAGGCCAGGACCACATTGGCATTTCGACATATCACCAAACGCGACTGTCGTCCTATCCAGAGGGCATGGTTGGCAATCATCTGAGTTTTCCCTGTTTTGGAAAGTACCAGGAGCACAGCGCTCGCAGACATTTATGCCCTCGACGAAACGTGTAAATTGCCCAATATCGCACCTTTCGCAATCCTGATCTTGGGCTGGGTCGCACGCTTCGCATCGGTTGCCAATCCTCTTGGTCCGCGGAGGGCACCTGCAACCCTCACCAGCTCCATCGACCCCGCATGTGCATCGCCGCCCGTCCAGGGAGACGAAGTCAGTGGCACATTGGACGCATGTTCCGTCCTTCCGTAGGCTTTCTGTGTCTGAACAAACGCATCTCGTTCGAGCTGCGTTTACGCCACTTTCACCTGGAGGGCATGGAAAGCATGAGGTTGTTGACCGAACAATGCTCACTGTGCCATCTGGGCATCGTTCACATCTCTCTGATACTACGTTGAATTGGAAACCTGGCCCGCAGGCATTGCAACCGGGTGATCCGGTAGCACAAGTTGGGCGACATTCCCGTGAACCCACACTCCGCGACTCGGAGCCCGGAGGGCATGGCTTGCAGCGCGAGGCACCCACTTCATTTTGGAAAGTACCAACTGGACACCTTTTGCATTCGTCTGCACCCTCCAAATCTGTAAACGTCCCCGCTGGGCACATTCTGCAGAAGAAAGATGAACGAGAGGATATTCCGGAGGCTGTAGGAATCAATTCGAGGAGGCGCCTGCCCCGGCGTGCTCGGAACTGGCCCTTTGGGCAGGGCAAGCATTCAGGGGCGTTCAATGAGGAAGTAGTCATTCCCGCGGGGCACTCATTGCAGCGAATTCTTCTTTGCGAGGGGGAACGAAATAAGACGGTTCCGATGGGACATATCACACATGCGTCCTCACTTTTGCTTTCTTTTTCTGAAACTCTTCCTTCTGGGCAAGACTGGCATGAGAAGGACATAGGCTCGCTGGAGAATGTGTTGATGGGGCAACGGCGGCACGGCGAGAGGGAACCTTTGGTGAAAAAGCGACCAATTGGGCATGGAACGCAACGCGAGCGGGCGCGGGTTGGGATGGTTCCATCTTCGCATCTTGTACATTCAGTAGCGTTAGCGATCATGGAAACACGTTGCTTCTGGCACGGAAGACATTCGTCTCCGGAGACGAATTGCCCAGGGACACAAGTTCGTTGGGCGAGCCCGTCTGAAAACAGTAGTGCCCAGAGCAGCAGACCGAGAAGCAATGAAGTCGTATTCATGACGGTGCTCCTCAGTAGTTGCCGGGAGTAGGAACGGTAAGAAGTTAATAGTTCGTGAAGCGCAGATGAGATAGAAATGTCTCTATATGTACAAGTACGTAGATGCAGGTTTACGGTACCGTCTAACTCGTACTGTAAGGGAATGCGAAAAGGAATTATGAACACAAAACGCAATATTGCAGATTCTGGGGTGCACTTCCTTTTTAAGTTTTTCATTCCTTTGGCCAAGTGGCCTTCATGAAATACCCTGAGCTCGCATCACTTTGTTCAGAAGTCGAAAGGCTGGTGCCATCTATTCCTTGAAGGGACATGCAAAATCGATATCTTGGTGTCTCTTCGGGTGTCCTATGATGCCACTTCCGCATCCTGATGCCGCAGAGGGCGATGCCGTAGCTGTTTTCCGAAGCACGGAAAAATATCAAACATGGCAATATGGAGACATTGCGTTGAATTTGCAGGTTTGAGGATGCTTTGGCAATGTCTGACGTAAGTCTGGCTCCTGAACAGATGAATTACGACATAGGTGGTCAGTGGTTTTCATTGGCGTTGGACATCTTTATGCTTTTCTGTATTGATGTCAATGCATCAACAGGTTAGATGAATGGATGTAGCCTTCATGCTTGCATCGTCATCTTTTGATGTTTGAGTAAATACAGTCTGGTACTCTTTTGCAAAGAGAAGGCAAGGGGAGGCTGAGGAAGTCCATACTCGTTGCCACCCCTGACGTTGCTATGCTGGGGAGGGGGATGTTTTCTACAAGGGCATGCTGGGTACAGCTTCCCAATGTACCCTACACAGCCAAATCATGGCCGCTGATATGGTGACATCTTGTGAAATCGAATTTGAATTGTCTTTAAGGATGCCCTATGACGGCAGTAGCTGGGTGCGCTTTGCCCTGTATCAGTTTGCCATGTATCAAGATAAATGGTACAGGACGGTGTTCTCGTCACGAGCGTCATGGACAGTGTCTGTCAAAAAGAAAAGAGGGTAGTAGGTCGCTCTGTTGAATTCCGCTCCAACTCTTCGTGAAAATCCTGCAAACTAAATCTAACAGAGCCCTATATATTTCCCGAGAGTCTTTTCATTACCTCGCGGGTCGCCCTTGTGTCACGAAAATGCAACTTTCATCAAGGCGAGATACTATGTTGTTTAACATACTTTGCGTTATTGTCGTTTCTCAGAGCCTCACCCACGTGTATGCTCAACTAGGAATTGAAACATGTAAGCCTGGAAGTTTTCGGAAGGGTCTTGACTGCATCAAGTGCCCCGCCGGTACCTTCAGCACGGGCTTCAATCTCCTCAGCTGCAGAGAGTGTCCTGCCGGGCGCTTTCGAGATATGGAAGGCGCAAGCTCCGAAGATCAATGTCTTTTCTGTCCCGCCGGCACTGCAAACGAGAAACAGGGTTCCACCAGGTGCAAAAAGTGTACAGCAGGCACATATTCACTTCCTGGTTCGCTGCTCTGCGGCGCATGTCCACCAGGCACTTCTTTATCGAGGTTTATTCCAGCATGTCAACCCTGCCCTCCTGGATTCTTCAGCAACGAGACTACCAACAGGTTTTGCCAGCGTTGTCCAGACGGGACCTTCACGAGCGAAGGTAACAATGCAGATCGAAATTCAGATATTGGAGCGACTTCCTGTGAAAAGTGCCCTCCTGGTACGTTCAGAAGGAACTCAGCATTTGGATTTAAGGAAGGGGGAGAAACCTCGAGTAACAAATGCTTCAGATGTCAACAGGCTACCTTCAGTGATGTTGCGGGAGCCAAGTCATGCAAGTTATGTCCCACAGGCACGTTCTCACAAGCGGGTGCAACGAGCTGTACACCTTGTCCGAAAGGTACTGCTAACAATCGAATTTTCGCGAAAAGGTGTTCGTCATGTCCAAGTGGGTTCATTACTATGGGTACGGGAGCTGCGCGATGCAAACATCCCACTCGTGGATGTCCATTCAACACGTTTGAGGACGCAAGTGCGGAGTGTAAGTCTTGCATGCCGGGACAAAGGCTTGTTCTTGCAAAGAAGAGGTGTGTCCCGTGCCGAGAGAATGAAATTAGTCGCGGTGGCGTAAGCACGAGGTGCAGCCCGTGCCCTCCGAATAAAATTCCATTTGGAGACCTTACACGTGAAGAGAAGGCTGTCTGCTTCTGCAAGCCTGGATTCGTCGATGATGGGGAAGGTGGATGTGCACAATGTCCCGCCGGTACTTTCTGGCAAAACGATTTCGACTTTTTCCTCTCGGGTCAAAATTTCAGGAGACAAGCAGTTGCAGGTAGAACAATACGAGGGATATGCACAAATTGCCCCGAAGGAAGCTTTTCTAATCTGCGGGGACAAACTTCGTGCACGCCCTGCCCTGAAAACAGTTTCCAGAGCCATGAAGGAGCAACGTCATGCACGAAATGTCCAGAGGGGTCGCGAACGCCGAGGGTTCTGGAAATGTTCACGGATGCAATCGGTCCTGTGAGATGTATCACGGATGAATTCGCATGTGCTCCTGGAGAAATACGAGATGAGGAAGGCAAATGTATTGCCATTCGATGTCTGGCGAATAACACGGTCCTGGAAAGAGGGAGATGCATTGGAAACTGCCCCATTGGCACACGGGTGCTGGGAAGGCGATGCCGTAGGTGCGAGGGGACAAGCCCCGGCGGGCTCTCTCGAAGGTGCACCCGCTGCCCTGACCAACAAAGACCAAATAGGCGTGGGGACACGTGCGTGTGTAAAAGAGAATTAAGGATGGTAAATGGGCAGTGCGTCCCATGCCCGTTCGGAACCTTCTACTTTGAGACATTGGACTTCGTCGGAACATGCATAATGTGTGCAAATGGAACTGCGGGGCCTCGTATTTTCATTTCCGAATGCGAGCCGTGCAGGAGGTCGTTTTTCACAAGAGAAAAGGGTGCGAGGAGATGTGAACAGTGTCCAAGAGGAATGACAACATTTCCTGACGTTCTAGGAAAACTCCAAAATGAATGCCGGCCGAATAGTCGGATTGCATAAATACCGCGCCATCCAGTTGTAAGTAAATATAAAGCATGACTGGCATAAAGCGTGATTGCCCTTTCGTTGCGCCTTGTCAGGCACACACTCCCATACAGCGAGAGATGAGAGCGTCAGAAAGTGACTATTCTTTAAACGTGTGTTAGAATACGATTGACGGCGGCGCAGGCGCTACATATAGCGGAATCTATAAAAAGCAATCCTGTCTTCTCCGTGTGAGTGACGGGAGTTGTTCGGTTTGAGCCTGAATTTTGGCCGCTATCCTCTGCTGCACGCGGTCGCAGCAATCAGGCCTTTCGTGCTCACCACAAGTTTGATCCCCATAGCCTGATTGAATATATACATGGTTCTCTTTTCGTCAAACTGCGCTGAGTAAAAATCACAGAGACGAGGGTCTCCGTCTGCCACTACTGTTACTATGGGGAGTAGGGGTGTAGGGGATTAGGGGGTGCAAGGGATTTAGGAGGTTGTGTGAATTTTTTACCCTTGCTAAAGCTTCTTGAAACTGTACCCTTCCTGGAAGGGGCAATTTGGTAATCGGGGGCAATTTGGTAATTTTTAGTCTTCCCCTTCCAGATTCTCCAAAACATTCCGTCCACATGCCAACACTACTCGTACAACTTGGTACGTCCTCCCTCGTTGCCCTGCGTTGCAGAAGTCCGGCAAAATTCGAACTCCTGCTACGCCACGGTGTCCCAACCTTCATCAACCTCTCTCCTGTAGCACCGACATCATGACTTCAACTCCAGAATTGCGTGAGTCATAGGACTCTCCATGCGAATACAGAGTGCGATTGAAAAACAAGACAAGAACGCGATGCATTGACAAAAACGCAGCGAAGGCCACCGCGCTCCTTCGTACAGGTATGAAAAGGTCCGTCGTCGTGAGAGCGACATGAGTACCCCGGGCAACAGTAGATTGCATTTATCGCGCTCTGCAAGAGCATGACGAATCGAAAATCGAGGCCCTCCTATCTCCCGAAGCCCATCGCAGAGGACGCCGACCAGTTATTACTGAACGACAGTCTAGTTTGATTAAGAAAAGGATTTTGTATGCAGCTGAAAAGGGTTTCGCACTTTCAAATAGTGATGTGCGGAATATAATGACTGAGATAGCGATTGCTAGCCTGCGTGTCTTTGTCGTGCAGCTAGGAAGTGGGGTAAGGCCGGTAGGGCCGTTGTAGAGCGATGCTGTGCGGTAGCATGCCCCTCTTTACTATGTGTCGTAAGAGAAGGAGACTATATACTAATCTATCGTAAAGGGTTCAGAACACGAGTGGATGCAACGAGTGCTGGAGAGCGATATATGCCATGAAAGAGGTGCAAAATGCAAATGTAGCTGAAGGTGCAGCTGTGCATGACACGAAAGAGATGGAAGATCGAATGCTCCCGGAGCGACGGGATGATTCCGGAGTTGCCATATTTGGCTCCACGCCATATTTGGCTACACTCCCCCTTTTAGAGGTCAAGTGCGGCTCGGTCTTCGCGGACGGGGTGCTCTTGCGTTGAAGGAGGCGTTCCAGCATCTGGGGTACGTCTTGTTTGACACGTAGAATAGGTTCAAGGGTATCTTCGGAGGCTGGAAAGCCTTTCCAACCGCTGCGGATCTTGAGGCCCTCAGCGTCCTGTACAAGACCGAGAAGGCCGGCAACCGGCATTCTTGTTTCCGAGGACAAATCATGGAACATGATGGCAGTAGTATCCAGAGCAGCATCCCAATAAAACTTGAGGCGAAATCCGTGTATATCTTCCACAGCTCCATTGCGGAGGTCTTGAACCTGAAAATTAGAATCGTTGAGAGCCTTGAGAACTCGTCGAGGGCCCCCGCCAGCGAAGAGCTAATTTTTCACTAGCAGTGAAGTCGGACCGGGCAACAAGTACAAAGTCGCCCTCAGTAATGGTAGGAAGCGAACCTTGCCACGCTGCTTGACGGGAACGTGCGCGATTGCATCGGAGCGTATTCTGCACAATCGGATGCAATTATTTGCAATGCTCCTGGAGTCTCTTAATGTTAAGGAGACGCTCGCGTTGCGCATCATTAGCTGAACATGCAGCTGCTGTAGTAGAACGCATGAACGTAGATATTGGTGGCGAAGATTCAATCCCAGTAAACGCTGTGATAGGGGAAACATTACTACGCCGTGGGGACGGGGCATTATTGAGGGCGACCTGTAGAAGCGGCAGTAAGTCTGGCCATTCTTCGGGGCGCATCTGGAACTCGGACAGCACGGCACGAGTGACCCTAATAAGTTCTTTGCCCAGTCGTTCCACGGCACCATTGCTCCATGGGCAGTACGGTAACGTAAAGTGATGGGGTACTTTCAACCCTTTCGAAACCAAGCCGATGGTTTCGTTCTTGAAATGCGTGGGTCCGTCGGACATTAAACTACCAGGGACTCCGAAGGCAGCGCACCAGTCAATAATGGCGTGAGCAGCATTCTCGGCCGCTGTGTCCGGGAATGCGAAGAACCACTTGTAATCTGAGTGGTCGTCTCGAAGCATCAAACATACTTCGAGCTTCCCAGAGTCTGACACAATTCGATGTAGTCAAATTGTAAGAGGTCGATAGGCTTTGTGCCGTGAATGGCTGGTCCGTACGGGCTTGGAACTCTTTCACCGCCCACTGTAGAAAGGCAATGTATACAAGCGCGTACAAAAGCCTGAACATCAGCGGGTAGGGTTACCCAAGGAAACCTAGCCTTCAATACTGACTCAGTAGACTTACGACCACGATGACCCCTTGGGCCGGTGTGAGCAATGATGCAGAGCTGCAGTTGCAAGTCCGAGGCATCATCTGGAATCCAGACCGGACTATCGGGAAAGTGTAGTATAACACCCCCCAACAGAGAGGGGTGTATACTTAGCTCGACGTAGACCCGTACGAGGGGCGAGAAGACGGGGAGAACACACAGCTAACGGGACAGGGAAGCAGGCCCTGGTAGCGTGGTAGAGCGGGACGGTCTGGGACGAGCGTACGCGCGGGCCGATCCACGCCTCGACGCCCCGGAGCAGCGCTGGGTAACGTACCAGCGCTCACGGGCGGAGGCGGATCTAGGCTCGCTCGCGTACGCGGCTGTCCCCTACCCGCTTCGTCCCGGTTAACGCGCGCGAAGGCGGATCGCGCGAGTTAGTTAAGCTGGAAGACGGACCTAGGCGGTAGGTCGTGGACAAGTCCGTGCTTGTCCCTCTCACCGCCGCCGGTCCGCTCGCGTATCTAATATACCAAGTAATCCTAACTTATTACAGTACAGTACGGGCTGTACTGTAGTGCTACTGTAGTCAGCACGGGCCGTCCCTTGCTGTCTGTACACGTGTTGTACACGTATAGTACACGTGGGTATGCGCGCTTCCCACACGTGTGGTACACGTGTGCACGTGCGTGCGCGCGCCCCTGTACACGTGGGGTACATGCGCGGTACACGTGTGCGCGCGTGCGGCTCATATTGATCTAATCTAAATCTAATCGTGAACCGCCGTTATGCCACACGGCCCCCTCCTCAAGAGTGAACGTCCGCGTTCACCCTTGAGGAGTGAGAGAGCCATGTCCGACCCGGTCACTTTCCTATTCTTGGCCCTGTTCCCCTTTGATCCGGCGTTCTTTTCGGCGCCATACGCCGATCGACCCTCCCTTCTTTACGCCTCCGCCGTGCTTCGCGATCGCCTCTCCCCTGTCTGCGTCTCGGTCTTCATCCGCGCACCCCTTTCCTTCGCCTTCATCGGCTTCTTCCCGCACATCGGTGCGGACGCTGTTCACCCTTCTCGCCCGTACGCGAGTTTCCGCGTGGTCCTCATGTCTCCTCCTCCCGCGGGTCATCCCGCTGTCGACTCCCCGCTGTCCCCTTCGTGTGGCGGTTCCTCCGTGGCACCCCTCGCACTTCCGCCGCTCCTTGGGGCCTCCGGCCTCCCGCGTACGGTACCCGTCCCGGTCTCCGCTGGGGTCTCCGTCACCCTTCCCCTTCGCGTAGAGGGGTTCGTTCCTTCCGCGGCGCCCGCGTTGCCGCCTTTCCAAAAGTCGCGCGGACCTTCCGGGTCCGCGTCATCTGTTGAATTCCGTCCGGCCCCTTCGATGGGCGCGGTACAGAAGGGAGGAGAAGACGCCCAAGCGGTCCCCAGCGAGTCCGCTTCCGTGGGGTCACCCGATGCAGAGCGCGCTAACGCGGTTTACGAGCCGCGCAGTGGGTCTTATGGGGCGTGGGGGAGCTGCCGACAGCCCGGCGCCCTGCCACAGAAGTTTCGGGGCATGCTCGACGCCGGCGCGGAGTTGGCCGACGATACTACGCGGTGGTTTCGTGCTTCTCTGGAGCGCTCGCTGTCGTTACCGGTAGAGCGACTGCCGTTCCCGTGGCGTCGGCACGCCCGATCGGGGATCACGCTTGCCGAACTACTATCCTGCGACTCCTTGCGTCCCGACGTCATGCGTGTTCGACGCATCTACGAGGCGGGTCGCGTGGACGAGGCCGGCCTCGTCCTCGAGAGGTTGACGAGTGAAGGCGGGGGAGTCCCGTATCAACTCCCCGACGCGATCCCCGAGGACAGGTCCTTCGCGTACAGCATCGGTGAGGTTTCGTATGTAGACCGTATGGCTGAAAACTTGTTCGGTCGTCGGCGGATCTATGCTCGCTCGCGTACGCGGCTGTCTCCTATGTGGCATAACAGCGGTTCGCGATTAGATTTAGATCAGATCAATACGGATCACAAACGCGCACACGTGTACCACCACGTGTACGGAGGATACGCGACCACACGCGTCCACGTGTGGGAGGCGCGTACCACCGCGCGCACAGTACGCGTCTCACACGTGTGCTGTCAGCCCCGACGGCTGACAGCATTACAGCGCCGGACGACCCGCGCTACAGTAAGTTCCTACAGCATACCGGTACTGTAGTATTATGATAGACGCATTGTATACATTCAATACGTGCGCGACCGGCGGCGGCGAAGCGGGAAAAGCACGGTCTTGTCCACGACCTACTGCCTAGGTCGGTCTTCCAGCTTAACTAA